TGCAGCCATTTGGGATTGAATCAGCAGATAGAAGACCTCTATCTCTGTCTCTCCCTCTCTCTGTCTGTAATTCAGCCTCTCAAATAGATATTTTTTTTTAAAAAAAGGAAAGATCAGCATAGACCTACTAGCACCTCTAGAAGAGGGGATGCATATTGTTCTCATTGAATAGGAGCCAAGAAAGTCATCTTTTCATAGTTAATAATAATGCTTTTAAAGATTTATTTATTTACTTATTTATTTGAAATGCAGAGAGCAACAGAGAGAGATAATTTCACACCTACTGTTTCACTCCCCCAAGTGGCCATGTGAGCCAGGTCTGGACCAGATCAAAGCAAGGAACCGGGAACTCCATCCGAGTCTTCCACATGGGTGTCAGGTACCAAGCACGTGGGCCATTTCTGCTGCCTTCCCAGGCACAATACCAGGGAGCTGGATCAGAAGCAGAGGAACCACGACTTGAACTGACAATCTGCATGGGATGCTGGTGTTGCAAGTGGCAGCTTACCCTGCTGCACCACAACGCTGGCCCCATAATGATGTGGTTTTATTTATTTGTGCCCTTGCTCATTTCAAGTGATGGTCACTAATACTAAAAAAAATTAGCTTCATTCATATTTTATAATATTTATTGGAACAATTCTGTTCCACAAAGCACTTAGGAATTTGGACTTAATTCCTTAGTAAATTGAACAAACATTTTGTTATGTAATTTATGTGCTGATGATAAAGTACATAACACAATGCCTGGAACAGAGTAAGCAAGCAATCCTTACAATGCGGTTACTAAAACTCCTAGGCCATAAGCTCCAAGAGGGAATGAGCTGTCTTGTTCTGTTTTGCTGAGCCTTCTATCTCAAAAACCCAGCCCCCTATCTGGCCCATAGTTGGTATGCAACAAATACATATTACTGAATAAGTAGTTGAATAGAACCCAAGAGTAATTCTCAACTCCCACCTCCTATTGTGTGTTTCCCAGTTCCCTACCTCCTCTAATCAATAGCAAGGGACTGGAAAAAAGTACCCCAGAGGAAAGGCACTTAAGTTCCTGTTTACATTTCCTCAAACTCACCACAAAGTTTCTTCCCTTATGTCCCAAAACCACAAAATCAATGCCTTGCAGCAACATATTCTTAACAGTTTTGCTTCATTTCCCCTTGCAGACAATGCACAAAGTTCCTTAAAACTGCAAAACTGCTTAGTTAGTTCCCTTTACCCTTTAAAAAGAAAAGGCATATTTATGAAACCCTACCAATGCTCAAATTGCTAGTACGATTCCTTGATCTTTGATTCTAGTAGGTTATCACATAGGCTACCGGCTTTTATTTTTTACCATATATTTTATACAAATTAAAATAATAAAAATAGGCTTAAATGTTTTTTCAAAGGTTATACATCAAAGCTATCATATTTCAGAATATAGGAAACTGACATATTTCAATGCGTAGGTTGCGTTCCTTAAAATAAAATTGAGAGATACTTCAGGTCCAGTTAGACAAGTCACAAAAAACTGTGTCATTACGCTAATTTCTGACTCCTATCTGACCTACAACAGAATTGTCAACCTGACTGCTTGATCATTTTCATTAGACTTGAGTCCAAACTCCCTAAACTATTTGAATTCAAATTAACTGCTATTCCCTAAAAGCAAATCTGCTCTCAAAGGATAGACAGAGAAAAGTAACATAGGTAGCAAAGTGGATTCTAACAGCAGTTCCAAAAATTGTTCTTTCCCACACCTGAAAAGCTGCTAATTGGAAAAAAAAAAAAACTTCAAATAACTACAGTACTTACTCGGATGAGATAACACTTACTTGTAACTCTAAATTCTGGTATTTACATTCCAAAATCAGATACATTTTTAAACAGTCAACTGTTACATAATTCCAGTTGTATTTTCTTCCACCAATATATCCAAGTTGCATCTTGAATGCTGCATTTAAGTTACAGCTTTAGAAATGCTGCTAAATAAGCAAGCCACCAAAACAACTCTGTCTCCCCTAAAGACACACAAGAAACAGTGGTTCTCTCTGCGAAAGGGAATAGCATGGCTGGAGAACAGAAAGGAGAGGGGACTTTTCACTGAGTAACTTCCTTCTGAATTTTATACAATGTTAATGTATTTCCTATTTTTAAAGAACTGTTTAACCAAAACACTTTCAAGTGCCAGATACTGCTGGCTTGTACGCTACAGAAAGCACAGTACTAAAGAAATGTGCAGTTCAGCTTGATGACACCACATTGCAAATCTGCGTCTCTGTTCCAGCACAGAGCAAGTCATACCAGCAACAGGAAAACCTTGCCAGCAGTTGAATTCAAGTTCATCCACAGTCCCTAGAGTTGAGTTGTCCCGCTATTATCAGTCCATGAATGCTTAAATATCACCGGAAACAAAAACTTGATGAATACTATGAAAATTCATGTGTCAACTCAAGAATGAAAAAACAGGGGCAGGCGTTGTGGCACAGCAAGTTAAACCTGCTGCCTGCAAAGCTGGTATCCCATATGCACTCCAGTTGGAGTCCTGGCTGCTCCACTTCTATACATCTCCCAGCTAACGTATCTGGGAAAGCAGCAGAAGATGGCCCAAGTGCTTGGGCCCCTACACCCACATGGGAGACCAGGATGAAGTTCCAGGTGCCTGACTTCAGCCTAACCCAGCCCTGGTTGTTACAGCCATTTGAGGAGTGAACCAGGGAGAAGCTTTCTCTCTCTCTCTCTCTCCCTCTAACTCTGCCTTTCAAATACATAAATTTTTTTTAAAAAATGAAAAATGGAGGGGGTGGCACTGTGGTGCAGTAGGTTAAATCTCCATATGGGTGCCAGTTTGAGTCCCAGCAGTTTGATTCTCGGCTGCTCCTCTTCCGATCCAGTTCTCTGTTGAGGCCTGGGAAAGCAGTAGGAAATGGCTCAATTTTTAAGCACCTGTACTCATGTGGGAGATCTAGAAGAAGCTCCTGGCTCCTGGCTTCAGATTGGCCCACCTCCAGCGGTTGTGACCATTTGGGGAGTGAACTGGCGGATTGAAGACCTATCTCTCCATCTCTCCCTTTCAACTGCCTGTAACTCTACCTCTCAAATAAATAAATAAAACCTTAAAAAGAATGAAAAATGGAGGTATATTAATGAGCCCATAAATTTTTTTTTCAAAGATTTTATTTGAGTGATAGAGTTACAGACAGAGAGAAGAGAGACATAGAGAAAGGTCTTTCATCTGCTGTAAAGGCCAGAGCTGGGCTGATTTGAAGCCAGGAGCCAGGAATCTCCTCCGGATCTCCCACCTGGGTGCAGGGGCCCAAGGACTTGGGCCATCTTCCATTGCTTTCCCAGGCCACAGTAGAGAGCTGGATCAGAAGTGGAGCCACCATGACTCAAGTCTGCGCACATGTGGGATAACAGCACCGCAGCGCTGGCCACAGAGTCCTTAAATTTTAAAGGAGCAATTATCTAAATACACCTCTGAAAATTAGCAAATCAATAACTAGTATATATACTAACTAAAAAAGCTTCAAATTCCTTGAAAAGGTTAACTGCCACAGCATAAAAGTGGGAGAAAGATGTCAGCCACGGTGACACCTGCAGCATTACTCAAGCGGCTTGAACTAGAAAATGCAATACGATCTGTTGCTGGACACAATTGCACAATCTCAATTACCCAGAAGATTCTACCAAACAGGAAATTCATGATGTGATTTTAAGAAACACAGGAATCATATTTAAAGATGAACAAATCCAAAAGCCTGGAATTTGTTCCGAACAAAACAAAACAAAAAAAGCATTTTCCTAGCTCCTTTTCCACCCATGCATGCCCAGGAATTGATAAAACAGGAAAAAGCTTACTATGAAGCCGGACACTTAGTTTCAGATCAGGAGCTCTCAAAAGATACTAAGTATAAAATACAGTGTCTAAGGCCTTGGAAGTTAGAGAAGTCAGTGAAATACTTCAGGTCTGGAAATGTCCTGGTGTCAATTTAAATACAGGCACCTTGTAAAGGACAGCTGGCCGGTGTCTAACTTTCTTCTCCTGGAAGTTCCCGATCCTAACGAAAACCAAGTGTATCTCAGGCCATAGCCACAGATAAGGTCTCTGCACACTCTCCAAGGGGCCTTAAAAACACACGATTCACAGGAATTATCTCAACTTTCAAATATTCACAGTAGCTCCCTGCACCGTGAGCGACTTTTGGGTTTTGAGGGCACGCGGCGGAGGGATCCGAGGCTCCCCTGCTCCCCGTGAGAACCCTGCTTCGTCAAACAATACTTTAAATGAGCAGTGGTATGTGACTAATCAGCCAGGCCGCCAGTTTCTCAAGCGGCAGCCACCACCGCCGCCCTCCACGGAAAGGAAACACGCTCTCGACCGAATCGGAAACACACCACTCAAGCTGGCACAGGGCTCGCCGAGATAAAGCCGATATTTTAAGCCCTATGGGTCGCTGCGAATTCAAAAAGAACGCTTCTCCAGACGGGATTTCCACAGAGGTTTGCAAAAAAGAAGGAAAGAAAGAAAAGCCTGGAGGGGGCTACCTTCGTCGTCAGTTTTGTTCAGACCACCCGATCTCCCAACCGGGTTCTGCTTTCTCCCGCAGCTCCCCGGGTCGTCCGCGCCCCCGGGACGGGTGCACCCCCGGGAGAGGGTCCTTCTGCAAAGTGTCCGTAGGGAACCCCCTCCCCAGCTCCCCGCAGAACAGCCGCCCCTCCCCCAGGGCCTGCCCCCCGGGGGGAGCAGCGCTCAGCGAAACGAAAGCGCAGGGCTTGCGCCAGGAGCGAGCTCCAGCCAGCACCACCACCTACCGCCCACAGCGGACCTGCGCCTGCACGCAATGGACCACCGCCCTGGGCGTGCAGGCTGCGGGATGCAGGGGGTGCAGGGACAGCCATGCTCTCCCTCGGGGGAAATTCCTGCCGCTGGGCGCATAGTGGAGCCGCGGGGGCAGGCCTGGCCCTCGGGCACCAGGGGCCACCCTATCCACCGCGGCCCCGGGCCTAGCAACACTCACCACACGGAGCCATAGGCGCCAGAGCCCACCGGGGACAGATTCTGGTAACGCTCGGGCACCTCCCAGATTGTCTTGTTCAGCTCCTGCCGATAGAACGTGGGCCTCTCCTGAGACATTTTCCAGCGACGGCCGCGGGGCGAGGAGGTGGCCCTGAGGTGCCCCCGCCTGCACCCACGCCCGCTCCCCGGCCCTCGTCGCCCGCCCAGGCGGGCGGGGACCTCGCGCTGGCCGCCGCGCAGGTGCGGCTGCTGAGACCCCCGCAGACACCCGCGCGTGCGGCCCCTGTCAGCTGCAGCTGCTGGACGCGCCTCAGGGACCGAGGCGAGCCCGGCAAAGGGCAGGAGCGCGCTCCGAGGCTGAGGGCTGCGCCCGCCGGGGTCTCCCTGCACCCTCTCCCGGGCCGGGCCGACTGCGGGCCGTGCCGCTGGACTCCCGCTCCAGTTGCAGCGCCCGCTGAGGCTCCAGTGGTCGCAGTTCCAGAGCCAGCGAACAGGAGCCGCCTGCCGTCCTCTCGCGAGATCAGCTCCCGGGACTCTCCGCGAGCCGAGATTTTACCCAATATGGAACCTCCCCGCGGGAGGGGGTTCGGGAGGAGAGAGCGCCGGAGGAGCAGTTCTCGCGAGAAGAGAGCAACAGCTGGAGCCCAGAGGCAGGAACTCCCGGGGACTGTTCTTCGGGGCGCCGAGGCGGACGGCTAAGGCGGGGATGCTCGCGCACCACAGGCCGCGCGCGCCCCACTGTGGTTGGTGGGGCTGTAGTGCCTGACCACTGCGGAGAGCGACGGGGACGAGTAAGCGTGTCGGGAAAAGAGCCAACAGATCTTGGAACTGCGGCCGAGCACCTGCTCGGTGGAACTCCGCCGTTTCCAAGAAATACCGGTGTCAAAAACTGGTTCCAGTCAGAAGGCCGTCGCATTCCCGTGTGCTCATGGACAGATGGCTAACCCTCCGGGACGCTGACGAAATCGGCCCCAAAGACAAATATTAGCCCCGCTGGAAGCCGAGACTTTGCACCCGAACGGGTGCAAAGGTCGCCCCGGGATCCTCAGGGGCCTCTGCGGGGGTCGGGGCCGTACAGGGGGCTCTGATGCGTCTTAAAGCCGTGGCCCCGAAGCTTATAAACCGACTTCGGCCCCAAGAGCAGTCCTGAGAAGAGGACTTGGAGATTTTAAGTGGGGGCTCTCCCAGGAAGGCGGAGGAGCAGGGAGTGCGCTTGTGGCAATGTCGCTTTTAGGCAAGCCGGTAGGCCCTGCTCAGTTGCAAGAGAACTCCGGTCCTCCGTTCCCACCTCATAGGGACAAGAAAATACCCGCGAGTGGGCAAGTGTTGTAACCCCAGGCCCACACCCACTGGTGCTGGCCCGGCCCGTGCTAACGCCTGCTACCCTGAGCGCAAGGATGGGAGTCTATCTTGTCCTCCGATCCTTTGAGGGCCACGCCAGGACAGGGGCCGAGGGCTCCCACGGCCGTGTTCTCCTTCCTCGCCCCCGCTCTCGTCGCCCGCCCGCCCCGAACGCCCGCGGGTTCGGCCGCAACGGCTCGGGAACCGCCGGCGTCCGGGTCGGCAGCGCTGCCAGCCAGGCCAGAGCCCTGGGAGACCCGAGCCGCCCGCCGCACTCCCGCCTCGGGCGGGGAAACAGGTGAGCTGCTGCCAGGGCCGCCCGGGAGGCGGGGCTGCAGGCAGAGAGTCGCGGGTTGCGGGCCGGGCTGGGTCCGCTGCCCGCAGCCGGGTCCCGCACGTCGCGGGCGCTCGCTCGGTCAATATTGGTAGAGTGAGTGGCTGACGACGGTGCCTGGAAGCTTATCTCCCGCCTCTGCTTTGAACGGCCGCGTGGAACGGCACCGGCAAGAGGCAGTTCGTGCCCTTTGCAAGCGGACTCCTTCCAGACGCCCTGGAGTTGGCTCGCCCGCCCCGTCGGTCTCGTCACTTTATGCTCCCTGACTGAACCCCCTCCCGATCCCTTGGCCCCTCCTCTTCCCATCCAATCCTGCTTATGCATGGGCGTCCCCCGGCGAAGAGGCGAAGACTGCTGCAACACCCCGGTCCCCATTCTGAGTCAGGCCAGCGCCAGCCCCACTCTTGCTTTGTTGGATGGAGGGCAGTCACGCCCAGCCGCTAGACAGTGGCCGAAGGAACTTGGAAATGATGCTCTTTGCTGCCGGCGCCGCGGCTCATCACGCTAATCCTCCACCTATGGTGCCGGTACCCCGGGTTCTAGTCCCGGTTGGGGCGCCGGATTCTGTCCCGGTTGCCCCTCTTCCAGTCCAGCTCTCTGCTGTGGCCCGGGAGGGTAGTGGAGGATGGCCCAAGTCCATGGGCCCTGCACCCCATGGGAGACCAGGTCTGGGAGACCAGGAGGAAGCTCCTGGCTCCTGGCTTCGGATCAGAGCAGCGCCGGCCGTAGCGGCCATTTGGGGAGTGAACCAACAGAAGGAAGACCTTTCTCTCTGTCTCTGTCTCTCTCACTAACTCTGCCTGTCAAAAGAAAAAAAAAAAAAAAAAGAAAATGATGCTCTTTGCTTATGCCTTCTCTGTGTTTCAAATGCATTAGGATAAAAATCCTAATGGTAACAGTCTAAGAGGCGTGTGTGAGCGAATTACAAGTTACTTTCAAATTTTGGAAGTGAATTTTGCCTTCCCATGCTTATAGGGAACATATGGAAGACTCTCACAATTAAATGAGTCCTTTGGATGTCACATCTATTGGGTCAGCAGACAGAAAATTGGGTTGTATTTAAATGTTGTATTCTTGGCTTTTAAAATACTTTGAAGACAGCTTATGTAAATGGGTGGATAAGGGTAGGTTGCCTGTATTTCAGCTGTCCAACAACTTACCACTGAGAAGCTGACTCAAGACAAGCGATGCCATTTGTGGTGGTCCTTATACTGTATCAGGGTCACCAGGAGGGCTCTGAAAATCAGCTGCCACCCTCTCCCAACACACACACACACACACACACACACCCGGGTTTCTGACTCAGTGGATCTTGCTACGTGGGACCTACCTGTCAGTAGGAGCCTCTGGTCATTACATCATGTCAGGAAGAGTCCTGCTGAGCCACTAAGGTTTCTATGGTATGAGAAAGAAGGACATAAGGGACAGGGGCTGGGCTGAAGCCAGGAACTCAATCCCGGTCTCCTACATGGGTGACAGGAGCCCATGAACTATCCCCTCTGCTTCCCAGGGTCTGCTTTAGCAGAAAGCTGGAATTAGGAGCTGGAGCCAGGAATGGAACCCAGGCACTCTGATGTGGGACAGGAGCATCCTAGCCACTAGGCTAAACACCCACCTTGATGACAGCTTCTCACCGGCCTCTCATAGCCATCACTCACTGTGGCCCCGTAAGTGTATGGCTTGGTAACCAATGACCCCTGCCCTAGACTAGCATAATATGAATGATCTCCAGCTCATCTTTTTGCCTCAGTCTCTTCTATCTCCAGAACTTTCTGTAATGATGGAAATGTTTCATATTTGTGCTGTCCAGTAAGATAGCCACTAGCCACATGTAGCTTTGTAAACTTGAAATGTAGCTGGTGTGATTGAGAAACTGAATATTTTATTTTATTAAGTTAAATTTAAATAGCCACAGGCTGCCAGTGGCTAGCCCACTGGATAACACAGCTCCAGACTGTAGCCCCAACACAATTTGTCTTCCCAAGGAGCATCTCCATGCACATTGCTAATCCTGCCTGAGACTTTATGTAACTAAAAAATGCAGAGTCTGCCCTACTTGTAAAACTCTCCAAGAACAGGTCTTTACCTACTTTTTGTGGTTTAATTCTGGTTGTACTCAGATCTGTTGAATTACTTCCCTTACAGAGTATTATCTCTGTCATTTTACCTTGGTCTCTCCCTAGAATACCTGTCCCTCTTTTCTGACCCCAACTGAGGCAGAGCTCCAGTCCTATCTCCCCTAGAAGCCTTCCCCAGCCCTCCAGGGTGGGATGATGAAGCCCACTCTAGAGGAGGCCATATGTTTCTAGAATGTGGCGTCTACAAAAGGACTTCAAAAATTCATGTGGAAAATGGAATTTTAAAAATTTATGTTTGTGGCCAGCACCATGGCTCAATAGGCTAATCCTCCGCCTTGCGGCACCAGCACACCGGGTTCTAGTCCTGGTCAGGGTGCCGGATTCTGTCCCGGTTGCCCCTCTTCCAGGCCAGCTCTCTGCTATGGCCCAGGAGTGCAGTGGAGGATGGCCCAAGTCCTTGGGCCCTGCACCCGCATGGGAGACCAGGAGAAGCACCTGGCTCTTGCCTTCAGATCAGCGCGATGCGCTGGCCGCAGCGGCCATTGGAGGGTGAACCAATGGCAAAAGGAAGACCTTTCTCTCTGTCTCTCTCTCTCACTGTCCACTCTGCCTGTCAAAAAAAAATTTATGTTTGTGCAAAACAAATTTGAAATCCATGCATAGTTTTATCATAAACTTTCTGAACACTCCTTGTATTTTGGCATCAAAAAGATCAGGTCCAGGGCATAGCAGGTAAAGCCAATGCCTGCAGCACCGGCATTCCATATGGGCGTTGGTTCGAGTCCCAGCTTCTCCACTTCAGATCCAGCTCTCTGCTATGGCCTGGGAGGGCAATGGAGGATGGTCCAAGAACTTGGGGCCCTTCACCTGTGCAGGAGACCTAGAAGAAGCTCCTGGCTTCAGATCGTCACAGCTCCGGCTGTTGCGGCCATTTGGGGAGTAAACCAGCAGATGGACAGCCTCTCTCTCTCTCTCTCTCTCTCTCTCTCTCTCTCTGCCTCTCCTTCTCTCTCTGTGTACTCTTTCAAATAAATAAATAAAAATCTTGAAAAAAAATCAGGTCCAAATTCTGGTTCTGCTATTTAATTGTACAACTCTGAGAAACTCATTAAACTCATTAGTAAAATGAGTGTAATCATTATTAGGAAAATAGTGTCAGACTCTTGAGATGCAGTGTGGGGAGAGCCTGTGTATGGCAGGCCAGCAGCAGGTGTGGAGTCCCACCTTCCTCACCTCAAAACGCTGGCTGCACTGTTTTGTTTTCCTTGTTCTACTGCATTGCAGAGACTTTGTCCTTTTGTTTACCTAAAGCATCTGACATTCAACAGATGTTTGTGGAACACTGAATTAACTGATCACAGGTAACATAGCTTTCTTGAGTCTGAAACAAATGAACTGGATCAGACAGAAATTTATAAAATTATGAAAATTGGGGCTAGTGCTGTGGTGTAGCAGGTAAAGCTTCCACCTGCAGCTCCCACATCCTGGTTCAGGTCCCAGCCCCTCCACTTCCAATCTAGCTCTCTACAATGACGTGGGAAAGCAATAGAAGATGGCCCAAGTGCTTGGGTTCCTGCACCCACATAGGAGACCCAGAAGAAGCTCCTGGCTCCTGGCTTCAGACTGGCCCAACTCCAGCCATCGCGGCCATTTGAGGAGTGAACCAGTGGATGGAAGATCTCTCTCTCTCTCTCTCTCTCTGCCTCTGCCTTTTCCTCTCTGT